GCGCTCGGATTTTATGAGCGCGGCCTGGCGGTTTCCCCGGGAACTAATGGCGAGGATTGATTAAGCCCGACGCCGAACGCGCGTCCCGATGCAAGAAGCGGCGAACAGAAGCAGAAGCAGGAGCTCATCGCGCCGGCGGCGTCGTTACGGGCGAGCTCGAGGCTGCTGCACAGGGCGCGATGAAGGGAGCCCCCCTCCCCTCGCCGCGCCGCCGCGACGCCCAACACTCTTACAGGTAGTTGCTCCACTGCCAACAGCTGTTGGTTATTTGCGGAGGGATCGATTCGCCCGGCCGCGGACGGGGCCAGGGATGGCAGGGATGGAAGGGATGGAGTCGCGCGTATTTACGCACGAACACGCCCGCGTTTTGCATGGCCCGCCACTCGCCAGGCGCGTAACAGGTACGACACGTGGTCGCTCGTCGAGTGCGTGCCCGCGCCGAAACGGCCGAAACTCGAAACTCGCCCGCGGCGTTTCGAAATCTCTGCTCTCGTTTTTAATTGGACTGCATTACTGAATTGGATCCCATTCATAGAGGAAAAAAAGGAGGTGTTTGCATCTTGAGGTTTGTTTACCCTATGACGTAGGTCGGTACAACCTGGTAAGCGAAATCCGGAATTCGAAGTATGAAAAACGGACCATAATGTCCCATTTTTTGGTTTAAATCAACTAATGATATGATTTCAAGCACTTTGAATAGAATGAATTTTTTCCATAAATTACACCATTTCCAAGAAAATTGATGATAAACGTCGCTGTACCGACCTACGTCATCAAAAAAATCCCAAGATGCCCGAAATGCAAACACCTCCTTTTTTTTCTCTATGGATCCCATTTAGCAAAAATGAATCAGCGCGATTACAGCGTTGTAAAAATGTTGCTTTTCCATTATCATCCAAAAAATCTTTCAAGGGAGCAAATATTTTTTGCTTCTAACTAAAAAATTGCCAATTTTACCTAAAGGAAAATAATTGTGCACATTTCAATACTGCATATATATTGAGTGTTTTCAAAAGGAAAGAAGAAGTTGCACGGTTTTGAAAACACTGATATTGGACTTGTTCCTTTATGCTAAATGCGATCCAATTGGACTTCATTCAGCATTATTAGGAACTACAATTTCTGAATCATCCACAAAAACACTTACTCAGGTATAGGGAAACTAACGGTGCACACATTGTTTCTAAACTGGACACATTTATGCTAAATGGAACTATGTGCAAGTGGAAAGATAGGGTGTGCTCGTTAGTTGTGGACCACTAGAATGAATGGGAATTTAAAGGCGTTAGTGATGTCAGCGGTAACGTTCGAGATCCGCACGACGGGGAGACCGTTGGCTGGACTCTTCAACTCGTGAGCCCTGTCCACGAGGCTCTTGTCACATGTCTACGGCTCACGAGTTAGCGCTCAGTTCCTTTTAATTTTATGTCAAATCCCACTTTTCTATTTTCTGAAAAGGACCTATATCCACTTTTACAATGTTTCTTATGCAGCTTCTACAAGCACACCCCATCTTTCCACTTACACATAGTTCCTTTTAGCATAAATACATCCAACTAAGCCAGAAATTTTAGTCCCTTAATGCAAAATGGAGGCCGGTTTTGATTCACTATTTCCAGCTCATCTGTGAGAACACATCTCTGAGCGGGGAAACTAGAAGCACACATGCTCTTCATAAAATGAGCCAAACGATTTTCCGTGCTAAGTAAGAGCGTCGTATGAACATTCGAGAGTTGCCAAAAGTTTCCACTGTTTTCGAATAAAACATGTATTTTTGAGGAAATGTATGGGTACCTATTTTTCCTTGAAATTTCCAGAATCGGAAGTTCCGAGCTCAAATAAAACGGCAGTTAAAAGGTTTGGTCCCAAAAGTAGTTCCGAACCTCCAAAATGAAATTTGTTTATTAAACAAAGAAGAGGCCAACTATGAATCATCTCTCCTTGCGTAATGGAATGTTTTTACTCTTGGACAAATGATTTATTATTGAAATTTGAGCATGCACCGTAAATTTTGTGAGATAGGATAGGATCGGAAAAGTAGGCAAATGAACTTACAATAAGAAGTCTTGTTCCCACGCAGGGTTGGGTCCCTTTACCGTGACCGTCGTAGACTTCACATTTTGCAATTTTAACGTTACATAAGAGTCCAGCTGGTTTCCTGAAAAATTGAAAAAGAATCAGAATCATGGCCAAATTAAGAAAGAACAACGAGCTACAAGAACAGTACAAAATTGGGTGAAATTTGATGTATTTATTACTGCCGATGCGATGCACTATGCAATTTCGTCGCTACAAAGACAGATGCACATCTTACTCGTCTTAAAACTTCATATTATGCAACTGCGTCACCTAATTTATTTAACCCTCATTTCTCTGAAAGTACGAAGATCATCATTTTAATTAAATAATTAATCTCTTGAATATTCATGACTTTTTGCCTGAGTAGATTCCTCAGCTAGATTGCTGGAGCAGTTTGTTTTGATATTCATTCATTAGAGTTTCTCTCTCTCCTTTTCAATTATTTTATTTTGATCACATTTATCAGAAGGGAACAAGCTGGAATGCAATTTTGTAAAAATCCAGGCTCTCCATCTTTATCCCAAAATGCCTTGAATATTACACGTATATTTCGTTTTTGTACCAAAAATTATTAATTTTAAAGGACATCGATTGGGTAACTTTCCTTAC